CCTGCTGCTAAAAACCAACTCGTCCCCACAGAAACCCTTAAAACATGTATGTGTAACAAGCCTTTTTAAAAATATTAATTTATTCAAACTCTAGACCACTGGGGGTATTTGAGTAGAGGTGCAATAGAAGAGAATTTATTTATTTAATGCAATGAAATATGAAGAGATAAGGCTGCCTGGGGCAGTCAGTGGAAATAAAAACCAAGAGGCAGTCAAGTTAAAAATCATCAGTTAGAATAGCTGGATGTGAGGACCAGGGCCTCAGCGGGAGAGGCTTTGTTTAATGAAAAGTTGCCATGAAGAGCAGTGTGTTAAGCATGAAGCAGGCTGGCCTTCCCTAGGCAATGCTGGTTCCAAGGCGTGCTGCTACACCAATTCCTCTTTTCTTCATTTGAATTACTTTTAGGATGAAAGCTACTTTCAACCACATTCTTCTTGAGGCATTTAAGGTCTGGGCTCCCTTTTTCCAATTCAGGTAGGTTCTGTTTTGGCCTGTTGTACTGAATGAACTCCCGGGTAATCTCTTGTTTTATTCAAGAATTCTACAGCTGAAAAATTTGTAAAACACTAACCTAAGATATTGAAAGGACCAAAGTTTTGCTTCCCTGAAGCTGCTTTTTGGGATACTGATTTTCAATTGTTTATTAAAAAACAAAAGACTCAGAAAGAAACAATAACCCCCCCTCCCCACCCATTTCCTGCCCTAGAGATTCAGACCGAAACCTGTTTTGAGAAGGGAGCCTTGGCTTAATCTCCTTGAGAATCTTCACCCCAGCGTCAGTCAGGAAGACTCCAGGCTGGTGAGCCAGATCCTCCCACCCGCTGTGTCCCATTGTTTCTCAGTTACCCAGCAAGAATATTCCTGCCCATGTGTTCCCCCCTCCCTCAACTACCTGTAAATCGCCCATTCTCACTCCTAAAATCCAAGCCTCCATCCCATACCCTCCCACTTCTCTTTTGTCCAGAAATGTCTTATACACCCAGTGTTGCCTCACTGTCTTTGGAATTTTCATCACTATGTGAATTTCCCACGCACATGTATTAAAAACTTGATTTTTCTCCTGTTAATCTGTCTTTGTTAATTTTATTATTAGCCCAACCTAGAAAAATGTAGAAGTTGAGAGCAAAAGTACTTATGCTTTTAGCCCCCTACAACATACATGACGTTTCTGTGGCTTGACCTTGTGAACATTCATTTTATACATAGCAGGGTTTCTCAACTCAAACGCTATAGACAGTTGGGGTGGTTATGTCTTGGCTGTGGGGACTGGCCTGTGTACGGTAGGATGTTTAGCAGCGTCCCTGGTCTCTACCCACTATATGCTAGTGGCAGCCTTCCCAAATCCTCTGGTCAGGATAATCAAAAATGTCTCTAGACGTTTACAAATGTATCTGGATGAAGGCGGCAGGGTAGGGCGGGGGAGCCGAATTCTCCCCCTTTTCTGTTGAGAACTACTGATAGAGGTCTTACAGAACCGATTCTAAGCTCAGATCCTAATCTATTTGTGGCCTGCTGTTTTATGCCAGCTTCTCCGTTCTCTTCTACTACTATGACCATGTTAAATATTTTCTAGCACTGTAGTAGTGCTGATTTTTCCTTTATGGGTAGGAAGAAAAAAGAAGCAGGCTTGAGAGTCTAGCACAAGTCTGGGTATTTGACCACCATACTTCTAAATTAACAGGAGAAAAGGATTGCTTAGTTACCTAAAATACAAGGTGTAACAAGTTTCTAGGTACCAGCTCGGGCATTTCTGTACCTGAACATAACATCTGTTTCTCTAGATGCATGTATTTTTTAAAGGAAGCTGTATATAAATAAGCATAAATCCCAACAAAGAGAAAATTTAATTTATAAAAGTGATTAGCTTGAACAAAACATTTCAAATTTCAGTACAAGTTCCGCCACTGTGGCGAGTCTAAAAATGTATATATTTTCCACCCACTTTCTAAGTGCTTCTGGCTGGGCTAACAACAAAATTAAAGGAGACGGATTAACAGGAAGAAATACAAGTACAATACACGCACATGGGGGAATTCACAGGAAAACACTGGGTATATAAGACATTTTTGGAAAAAGGAGAAAAGCAGGGTGGGTAACAGATTATTCAATTTCTGAAGTGAGAATGGGCAATTCACAGGGAGCTGAGGGAGACAAAACACACATGGCAGAAAAATCCTTGCTGGGTGACGCAGAAACAATGGGACCCAGAGGGTATCTAGCCAACAGGCACCTGCCTGAAGTTGTCTTGTTTACCACACTTAATACAAATTAGGAGAAGGGGAACATCGTAAGACCTCCTTCCTGGAGCTGCTTTTTCTGAATCTGGAGCAGAAAAGGGAGGGGGGGGGTCAAAGGTTCCTTCTGGGCCTTTTGCTTCTTACAAAAACAGCTTAAAATCAACATGCCCAAAAGCAGGTTCAGGATGGCAGAATCTTGGTCCCTTCACTACCATCAGCCTCTTTCATCAGTGGATTTAAATTCCTTTACAATGTTGGTCAAGTCTTAATATGCGGAGAAAGCCAGGTGGACATAGATGAGTAATACTTTCTAAAGACTCAATCCTGGTTGGAGTTTGAAAGCTAGGCTTTCTAAATTGCCTCATGTGTCACAGGTTCAGTGTAATCTGAAATTTATAATGCTCTGGGGCAGAAAGGTAGCCTCCTAGGTAATATGCTTGGACCGTGTTTTGACTAGTAGTTTGTTAGTCTCTCATTAGCCATCATTTATTTTGCATTATCTAAGGCTTCTTTATTCCTAGAGACCTTCCTTCAGGCTTTAATGTCCTGTTATCTACATTTTGGTATTTATACAACATTTCATCTCTCTGATTTTGCACTCATGACGAGCTACTCTATGGCTAACCTCATCTGCCTCATGGTGACGTGGAACAGCAGCTCCTGAGGTCATTCAAAGGCCTCTGGGTGAAGCTATACTGCCCAGGTAGTGGCAGCATCACCATGAACTTACCTGACTCTTAAGAACTTCAATGACTCCAAGATAGGACACAGTTGGTGGCCTCTGGGTCCATGTGCCCACAGCCAACCATTCTTTAGGTTATTATGTTACATGTTTTTTAGAACTAAACATAAGATTTGCTATTAACACTGTTTCTGTTCACAGTTTTTAAACTGAGTTTCCTTCTGAAAAGAATACTTGTACTTCCAGGATTTAAAGTATGCAAATTCTTCTCGAGCAGAAACAATATTAAGCTCACAGCAATATAGACACACAAAAATGGAAAATCCAAGAACTGTCACATATAAATAAGTTCAGAAATTCTACAGAAAATCATAGCATCTACAACATTTACAATACAATAATCTTTCACATACTGGCATATTCACAATGAAGATAAATATACAGGATACAGCACATAAAAGATAGGAAATTAAAATACAAAGAATGGACAAGGCGGGGACACTTTTAAATAATTTCCTTTGTTATAATACTACTCTATTAAACTCTTATGGCTAACTAAATATTTGTTACCTAAATCACAAACTCCTTTAGGAGATAACAATACCAATAGAAAAATGGAGTGTGATGATCTCTAAATACATTTTTATAGAAAGATTTGCTGAAAATATTCAGAAAGTTACAAATCTTATCTCAGGTCTATTAACTAAACCTACATTCTCTATAAGCATGACCAGTACCTAGTTTCGACTGTACAGAATAGTTAACTCAATCGTGGATATCTAGCATTGGACACTAACCGTTGCCAAATTCCCTACTGATAATTTGGGCCAGTGAGCATAAAAGACATTAGCTTTGTTTCAAAGTGTTTTCTTTGAGGGGGAATACTGGAACACACACAAAAAAAAATCACAAAAAAACAACTACCTTAAAATAGCAAAGAGAAATTTATAAAAGGGGGGTCAACTATACCTATAAGTAGTAAAAATTTTTTATTAAAGTATAATACAAAAAATATTAAATAGCTAAAGTTAATCTATCCTTCCTTGAGACCTTTACCTTTCAATATTGAAAAGAAGCAATCTTAAGCAAAATAAATTGCCCAAAATAAAAGGTTCAAAACTGGTAAATATTCTCAAGAAATTACACTATAGCTTGATTTATAGATTTGTAAAATATGTGAGATTTTTTTTTCAAAACACATAAACAGCAAAGGTCATATCATATTTACTTCTTAGGCTAACCTTCCAAACTAAGTAAATTTCCTCCTAGGAAGGAAGAGAGAACACATTTACAGAAGCTGCCACTACTCAAAAACTAAAAGGAAAATAAAGCAACAATGAACAACTATGATCTCAATAGCTAATACCTAAACTACCAAATTAAAACTCAAAATGTAAAAATACCATTGCATATATTAATGTAACTTTTATTTTAAAATGATCACTTAGGCAGCAGTTACCCCCAATACAGTTCTTATTCAGCTGAGCCGAAGGATCTAAGGAAGCAGCACCAGGACACATGGAAGGTTGTCGCTAAAGCAAAATCCCGGAGTTGCAGAAAAGGGACAGAGGAATGAGAAACAAAATCTAGTACCTGTTCATTTAAACTCAAGTATTCAAAGGAACGAAATGATAAATGATCAATCTAGCTATTTATTTATGATAGTTCATCTGAGCCATTTCAGTAATCTTCATGGGTTGCATTAAAAAGTCAGACCCATTTTAAGACCCTTTGGGAAAGATGATCCATAGTAAATATTGTTACCTCATCAGTGGGAGGTGGATTTTTACAAAACGAATATCCTCCTCTCTGCCCTAACGCACCTTTTATGAACAACGGTCTATAAAAATGGTGCATTATTTATTTATAGAAGAACGCGGTAGGAAATGATCAATTGACTTTTTCAATCTACTTTCCTTCACAAAGCAGGAGTCAGCATGTAAGATAAGTTCTACACGGGAGAATGAAATCTCTTCTCTATTTACCTTAAAATTTGAATACAATTTTGAAAACTGTGGAATGAAAGAGCAAACAAATGGTACATACAATACTGGTAAGGCAATTAAGGAACTTAACTCACCATTTTTTAGGCTTTGACAATGGTTTGTATTTGCTGTATTTTACACGCCATTCAAGAACTTCTTTACAGCGCTGACATACTCCATCATGAAGTTTTTCATTAATTTTCTTTAAAAAAAAAGTAAATTGAGAATTTCATCTGAGCCAGCATTACAAACCCCATGAAAAAGGCACATAAGATATTTAAATTAAAAAACATAGTAACCTAACTGTAATGTGTTAATACTTTATGATATGTATTTTTACATACATTACTCAATTTGCCTTTTACAAACCAAAGATTCTTAAATGCTGTAGTCAGTAACATCTCTAGGAAATGCTTTAACCGGCTGGCAGGAGGATTTTGAGAAAGTCCCCACCATTGATTTTGATGTGTACATATGTTAAAACTTAAGATTGTAGAGTTAAGATATGTGCATTTTACTGTAAGTTATACCTCAATAAAAAAGCAATAATAAATAAGAAAACCTAATTCCTATTTCAAGACTATTCTTTTGACAATTCGAATCTTACCACTGAGAAATAAGAAGTTAGACTTAGAAATTAGATAGTCCTAACTGGTCTGCAGGGCAGAGCAGGGACTAAAAGCTGAGAAGGGACTGCCAGGGAGAAGCCCCTGCGAGCCAGAAGGCATTTAATCATTCAACTTAATGCTGTTGCGTTCTCATGTAAAAAATGGTTTACAAAAGTTACCTTGTAATTTGTCTTTATTAAAATAAGTTCTAATGGGAAAAAGAAAAGAAGTTACCTTACTAATCTGGCTTCTTCAAAACGAAAAATAAATATGCACATGTAAGCAGCTGTGGAGGGAAAAGGGCTGTAGGAGGGGGAAACCCATTTTTTAAATAATTCATTTGATTCAGGACCTACAGTAAGTATTTGCACTAAGTACTCTGAGAATTCTCTCACTTAGATGCAGTGGAAGCCTGGTCTTATGTTGAATAAGTAGAATGAGTACAGGACATTTTAAGTTTTCTTTGTTTTCAGTTCTCAAGAGGAAAAGCATCACAAAAAAGCAGATTCTATGGAGGGTCATTTGATTCTGAGTTAAATAAAAGTATAATGTTCAGTGATTACCCGAAACAAAACTTCCCAACAGTGCTTGTTACTCTTTAAAGTTCTAAACAAGCAGGCAAAATAATTTCAGAAAACTTTTATTCACAGGAAAAAAATTTCAAGGGTATTTTCAAACACCATACATTAAGCTGTGAACATATTACGTCTGAATTTAACTCTGGTGAAAAATATAAATCTGTTACTCATGAACTGGGCATTTCTTTCTTCCTGACTTAGATGCAGTCCCTGGGAAAACACATTCCGCATGCCAATATATTCCTTCCTGCTGTGGTCTGCTAACTATGGCCAAAAGAAGGAAATCTGTGCTTGATATCAAACCCCTCTTCTAATGCTAAGAAATACCCAGAACGGAAGTTCACATTTCATCTCTTGTTCTCACCGCCTCCTGTAGCCTACAGTATCTTACTAGAAGCATTACACTTAGATTTTCATAACTCTAAAAATGGGAACAAGCGAATGACTTGATTATGATTATGATATGAATAGGATATAAACTTTCTAATTAGAATATTCTTAGAATGTAGAGCTTTTCTTTACTTGCAATTTTATTATATATGACACTCGGCTTGTCAATGAGGAAGCATTATTTGGTCTCGTTTGTTTCTGTAACCAGTTTCTGACCAGTTCATCTTGATTTACAAAGCTACGCATAGTTCTGAAACTGGTTTCTTTAGGTGGATCAACAGTAGAACAAAACAGGTCTTTGTGGGAACTTGTCCTCTGAGTGATGTGTGAGGCAGTATAAAAGGAGATGCTGTACAGAACTCACATGACTAACAGGCACTACCAAAACTTAAACTTGATTTTCATGTATTAAGAAATGAATGGAAGTCAGAGTGAGAATAGTAAAATCACTTAAAAATAGTTTCAGAAAGAGAAAAAATTGTACTTCTTGTTTACTGTATTTTGGCAAACTACAAAAACTAAATTCCAGATACATGAACAATGAAAGCTAAGTCTTAGTTCTAGGAATCATTCTGCCTGGGGCAAGAAAACACGGCAATGATGTTTATCACTAACCCTGTTAGGGCAATTAATTTTAGCATATTCCTCAGGGTTGTAGATTCTATGAAAATGGATTTTCAACAGCAGTTAGATTTGGAATTTTACTTGAGAATTTCATCTGAAAAATGTTTTTATTTATTTTTAGAGAGAAAGAAACATCTATTTGTTGGTCCCCTTACTGATATATTCATTGGATGATTCATGTATGTCCCTTGACGGGAACCAAACTCTCAACCTTGGCATAATTAGGACAACACTCTAGCCAACTGAGCTACCCAGCTAGGGCTAGAAAATTTTATTTATTTATTTATTTATTTATTTATAGAAAATTTTGTTTTTTAAACCTTTTTTTTAAACTAATGAAGAGAAGTAAAATATATCATTGTTCTAATGTTAACATTTCTGAAAAAATTATGATGTACAGAAAACCCTGGTGAAAGATTGTATTAGTTAGCACTGAATGATATTCAAATTCCTTTCCCCCCACAATAGTATAATCCTCCTGTGGAAAGCAATGGTCCCCAACCTTTTTGGCACCATGCACGGGTTTTGGGGAACACGATTATTCCACGGACTAGGGGGGATGGTTTCAGGATGGTTCAAGTGCCTTCCATTCAAACTCACCTCCCACTGGGCTGCACGTTCCTAACAAGACTGGACCGGTCAGGCAGTGGCCCAGAAGCTGGGGACCTCTATGTTAAAGGATACTTTATATTAAGATTATTAATGATAAGATGCAAGCATGCCCAAACATAAATTCAAAACTTAGTTCTGTAAGAACAAAATCTTTGAAAGATCATTTAACTACCTACTCTCCAGATCTTTAAAAGAAAAAGATCTTCAATGGAAGATTCCACTGAACTTAAGAATCTTAGTAAAAGAAGAAAACTTTATTTTCCAGTGAATCCTTTTTTTTTAAAGTTATAATAAACTTAAGCTGTATCAAAAGATACTCCTACTTAATATAGATATGAAGTCTTAAAAATGTCTTGGTTACCACTAATTCATACAACATATTTTATATCAAATGTCATCCCTGCTTTAAATACTCTGCTGTCAAGAAAATTCATCTTCGGTAATGTAACACAGCAATTCCAAAAAGAAATTGGGCAAGGACTTCAACTCCCAAGAAGGTAGCAAGAGTAACTTGTAAATATAACATCAGTAGCAACATGTTGATGCTGAAAACTACTTTATAATATATATATATATTTTTTTATTTTAGCCATTCAAATACATGTATGTAAATATCTTATGATTTTATTTAAAATCTCCCTAACAACTAATATGTTGAACATCTTTTCCTGTGCTTATTGATTGCCATCGTGTATTTTCCTTAGTGAAAGGTCTATTTAAACCTTGTGCTCATTTCTTTAATTGGGTTATCTCTTTTCTAATTGACATGTGAGGGCTTACTATATATTCTGCCTACCAAGCTTTTACTGATAAGTGCTTTGCAAATGTATCCCCCCAATCTGTACTTTTATTTTCATTACCTTAACAGTATTTTTCCTGAGATCTTTCCAATTTAAATAAAAAACAAATTTTCAATTAATTCTTCCAAGCACCATCCTTCTCATTTCAAGTCCAAAAGTTTTTAAAGAATCATGAAAATTTTCACCTATGTTTTCTTCTGGAAGTTCTGTAATTTTACATTTTACATGTAGTCTATGATCCACTTTAAGTTAATTTTTGTACATGGTACAAAATACTGATAGAGGTTCTTTTTAATAATATACATATGTCCAAGTTCCATCAACATTGAACCGCACTTGTATCTTTGTCAAAAATTAAGTATGTGCCCTGGCTGGTATAGCTCAGTGAATTGAGCACGGGTCTGTGAAGCAAAGGCTTGCTGGTTCGATTCCCAGTCAGGACACATGCCTGGGTTGCAGGCCAGGTCCCCAGCAGGGGACACATGAGAGGCAACCACACATTGCTGTTTCTCTCCCACTCTTTCTCCTTCCCTTCTCTCTAAAAATAAATAAAAATATTTTAAAAAATTAAGTATGTGTAGGTCTATTCCTGAACACAATATTCTACCACATTAATCTCTGCGTCTATTCTTTCACCAGTGCACTACCCTGTCCACATCACTGTAGCTTTAAGGTTTTAAAATCAGTACTATGCATCTTTCAGCCATTCTTTTTCAACATTATTTTAGCTATTCTAATTCCTTTGCTTTACATTTTGGAATCAGTTTGTTGATTTCAATCAAAAAGCCTGCTACATTTTTTCTTTATTTTTATTGTTGACACTATTAAAGACGTCCCTCAGTTATATTTTTCTTTACCTATATTTTTATAAAATTTCAATGTGAACATGAGCATTTACATATGTGTTCACATTATAGAAATTTTATAAAAATACAGATTATGAAAAATGACTACTCATCAGTGAGATTCTATATTTCTTTCTAGCATTTCAAGCACATATATTTACAGAAATATGCATTGTTTCTGCATGTTTTACAAGTTGTTTTGTCCTTAATTTGTTCACACCAGTATACATATGTATACATACATACTTTGAAAGTATGTTTTTAAAGATTTTATTTATTTTTAGAGAGGGAGGGGGAGAGAGAAAGAGAAGAGGAAACACCAATGTGTGGCTGCCTCTCAGGCACCCTCACTGGGGACCTGGCCTGCATCCCAGGCACGTGCCCTCACCGGGAATGTAACCTGCCACCCTTTGGTTCACAGGCCGGTGCTCAATCCACTGAGCCACACCAGCCAGAGCTTGAAAGCATGTTTTTTTATTGGTTGCATTATATTCTCTCAGAAAAACACTGTAATTTATTTAACCTATTCCCTATAATTTGACAATTTTGTAGTTTCCAGTATCTGACTGAATGTATACTTTTTAAATGCCGTATGGTATATGCATCAGGAAATTTCTAATGAATCTGTAAATTCTCATCATATTATATTTGCACATAAAAGTTCTGTCCCATTTCAAGAAGACAGTAAAAATAAGAGGTATTTATCAGAGACAAAAACTCATAGTAAAGAATAATTGTCCCTTTC